GTGAAAACTCTAGCCAAGTCCTACACCTGTATTTAAGAGAAATGTGAAATGAAGTTTATCACACTAATGTTAATGCATAGGGGCCTACTGCAGGTATTGTGTTGCATTGGTGTAAGCAAGAACTTTGTAGGCCTACATGTGCCTGCACTTAACGTCCTCACGCCATAATTACCTCTGCCAAGGAGGTTATGTTTTCACGCCTGTTTGTCTTTTTGTCCGTCTGTCATCAACATAAGTCAAAAAGTTATGGACCGTTTTTGATGAAATTTTCAGGAACTGTCAGAAGTGGGCCAAGGAACAAATGATTAGCTTTTGATTAGCTTTTGGTCAGTCAATAATCAAAAATATCAAAAATTTAGGAGTGAAACGGCATTGGAAGGAGACTTTGCTGCTTTGGCGGAGGTCTGCGCTCTCTGAGTGCTTTTCTAATTAATCATGCACTTGCCTTAATCACATTTCAACATAAGTCGTTGTTCTAACCCCCCTCGACCAACCCTCGCAGTAATTATACAATAGGTTTCTAGTTAATTTGTTAATACCTTTTTGATTACACTAACAAACCTACGTTTTATTTATTTATTATTTTTCGTACAAGAATTGTACTATCCTACTGAACAATGCATTGTTACTTACGCAAATGTTATGTTTTTGGTTTTCAATTTACGCAGGCGTAAGGAAGTTAATAACATGTTTTACATAACTGCTTTTTAAAACAGTCGCAGAGTGCAGGTGCGTGGTGAATTACATGCAACGCGTCTTTGGCAGTTTATCATTAGCAAATATGAGATTCATTTTTTTTTCAGGAAAAGCCTAGATCTAAGTACTCTTACAGGAGTAGTATAAAGTATCTTAAGAGGCATTGTAGCTGCCGGTATTGTTGAAATATATTTTGCAAACCATCATCATGATGCGTGTGTGTGTGTGTGTGTGTGTGTGTGTGTGTGTGTGTGTGTGTGTGTGCGTTGGGGGGAGGGAGGCAAGTGCCTAAACAACAGAACCGTCACTAACGTGAAACAACAAAATAAACAAATATTGAATTGAGTTCCAAAAGATCAAATGTCGTGTCATGTAATACTTTTGTTTCTTTTATTTATTTTTTATCATTCTTTTTCCTCTTTATCATTTATTTATTTATTTATTTATTTATTTATTTATTTATTTCTGAAACCACTTATTTTAATGGTCCCAGTGTCTCTTTTCCAATGAACGCCTGCTATCTTCCCGAGTAAGACTTGGTTTCAGTATCCTCAGTGTAAGTTTATCATCGTGCGCTAGCTGCGGTCAGTAATATTGTGTCCGTGAGTAGACTGCGTTCCAGTAGGCTAATATTGTGTTTGTAGTTCAGTTGAAGATGTATACAATTGTGGTAGTAGAGATGGCCAACACAGTGTATGTCGTTGATCGCCATCTGGGAAATTAAATGGAATGCAACGTTTACGAACCTTTTTGGTTTCTTTAGTCTGTGTAGAAATTCTGCATGTATATCTTTGGAATAGTCTGTCGCTAGTCATAAGACAGATTAAATAGTGAATCTTTAAAATGTACTAAAATTCCATAGTTTTTAATGTTTACAGAGAATGTTTACTGGTATTTTAAAATACATATACATGTAGTATTGTTCTTTTAACCTCGTATGCCAAATAATCTTTATGTTCCTTGAGTAATTTTGTAAGATGTAGTAAGATTTTAAAAGAATGCGTCATAACATAATTTATTCATTTATTGTAAGGGTAGTATTTTTATAATAATTATTATTATCCGAAAAGTATCGTAATGAAACATCACAGTCAGAGACTGTCACCCTTAGCACGGAACTTTTCCTCGCTTAATATCAAATCAACACTAATTTCTAGTGACGCATCCGATACCTGTCGAGTTATTTTAGGAGAAGTCTTAATGCCCCTTTCAATATCGAATTCTATAATTCGTCAGTTATTTTTTCTTTTTGTTTGCTTTCAATTGCCTTTGGGTGCTATCGCTGCCTTACACAAACTACCAGTATTCTTATTCACCGTGTTTAGCAGTGCGTCAAGTAGGCACGAAAAATATTCATTCTTTTGACCCGATAAGGAGAGAGATCCCAGTGGTACGGATACTTAAATGGAGGCACGGGTTGATTCTATATCATGGATCATTTATGTCCGGTAGAGATGGCTCATTACTTTGTATTATCTCGTCTTATTACACATGCGTATATATTTCTTGGTTCGGGGGGGGGGGGCACGTGTTGGCAAACTTATTTCTCAAAGGGTAATGCTGCGTACATTGTACATTGTAGACGTAGAATGTATATGTTTTTTCACAGGTAAATTTAGGTGACTGGCAGCTCTGCAGGTCACAAAGATTATTAGGAAGCGTGATTTGTGGCAAGGCGAGGTTGATCTGACCTCAAACACAATGACAATCTTCCAAGTTTTTTTTAACCGGTGTTACCAATCCACACTAACACAACCGACCATTTTGAAGACACCGCTGTAACGCTAATACCGGTACAGTACTTGACCACGTATCTTATTCAAAATGTTAACTTCATGCAGGGATTTTTTATCAGTCAGCCCTCTTTTACCTATTAAATTAAGTCAAAGCGTAATTCAAGATCATTCGACCAGTTATTGTTGATGTCGTGTTATGCCAGACTGAAAACCTTTGGCAAACTAGCTCTACAAGTTTACTGATCAAATGAATGGAACAGTATTCCACTGCACTCACAAACTATAGAGTCCGAGGACGATTAAAAAAAGAATTAAAAGGTTTTATTTTTGAAGAGTTTTATAACTTATTTGATAGGCTTTTTAACTTTACAGTACCTTGTACTCTATATTTTACTATCTTATAATAAATATTTTAACTGTCTATTTATTGTTGACTTTATTCATCTTCTTCTGTTTATTAAACCCTTGTAAAGTCTACTGAATATTTTTTTATTGGTATTAGGCTCTATATAAATAAATAAATAAATATTATTAATATTTTCATTATTATTATTATTATTATTATTATTATACATGTTTGCAGATTAATAAAATGTAAATGCACTAAATAGACTCTCCGCTACCAGTTTCTCTTTTATTGTCCCTTGCTTGTTACTGTGCTTTCAGTGACATTTTTTATTTTGCGAAATTGCTTCTGTTGTCAGGACAAAGAAATGAAAGGATGAGGAGAAGACAAAAGTATTCAGTAAAGAACAGCATCTAGTTCTCCATGAGATGCTCCTGTAAACAGTATATACCTGTAAGGGAGAAAGCAGACATCCTGAAGGCTGTCCTGTGACCAATTTCGAAAAAAATAAAGAAACCAACTTAACCCTTGACCACAAGATCCCGAATGGTTTTGGTTAAATACACACCGCTCCATCTAGCTTACGTAAATACATTGCGTGGTAGTCCGCTGAGGCACCGTAGTACGTTCCCCATTACTATGCTTAGATGACACTCGTCTAGACTCGTCCCATATGCTAGCGCCAGTAATCCGCTGTACCTTAACCTGTAGCCTACTAATCACACGGGACCCCGGACTTCCATTCCTAGGACTACCATTCCTGTCACACTTGTATGGCAAAATTGTTGCTACAGAAGTTTTATCATACTGTTTGTGAACACAAAAAAAGGATGAAAAATATTGCCTTGTGACATTTTATATCTACAGGTAGATTCATTGACTACAGCATACATGTTTGAAGAGAATAGGGTGGATGCAGAAGAAAAAAACTTCTTTCTAAAAAATCATGATGATCTTTCCTGTCACGGAACTTGTCCGCACTTAAAATAAAATCAGCACCTGTCTGTGGGGACACATCCTTAACCTCGCGATTTATTTTAGTAAAAAAGTCTTAAGTCTCCTTTCAGTGCATATTGAATTCTATAAATCGTAAATATTTTGTTAGCATTCAAGAGTGCGTGCGTCCTATCGCTGCCTGACTTAAATTCTTCTTATTCACTGTGTTTAGCAGTAGGTCAAGTCGGCATGGGTTTCTTATTCATTCTTTTGTCACAATAAGAAGAGAGAAACCAATGATATAGAATCATCAAGTGTGTTCTCTTCAAACAATTGAAATTAATTGTATTTGCTCCCTGTTCGAGACACGTCAGTTCGACGAAATATTGATAAACCTCAATTATTTTGGATAGTCAGAAACCCACTCTTAACATTTAGCTTATATATAAGGAGATTTTTAATGCAAATGAAAATTTAATACATTTTTAAAATTTATTTCGTAGTAAGGGGATTTTCATTGCTAATGGGAATTTTATATGTCAGTTATTAGGTACGAGTCAGTGGTGGAATTGGGGAGGGGGGGGGCTGAATACCCCCCCTTCGGTTTCTGAAATATATATCTCACCAATATTCCCCTCTTGAAATTAGAATTTTGACTAGCTGAACCATAGTTCTAAATTGTACCAAAAGGTGCAGTTTGCCCTCCTAGACACCAAAACTTTCCCCATGCCAAGGGGTGATGGTCGTCTTCGCATCCGAGGCTTGTCGTTCCGGACTTTCCCCCCTCCCCCCCCTTCAAATAATCCTGGACCCGCCCCTGTAAGTGCATGTTTGTGTAATAATAGCAGGCCA